TTTTATTTTCTAATTTCATTATTAATTAATAAAATCTTAATTAAAATTATAAAAACAAAATTACCCTTACAAAGATATTAATTACCTTTTTAACAACTATTAACACATAGACAACATTAATCACACAGTGGAACATTAAAAAAAATAGAACAAATGCATATTTTTGTGATTTTATTTAAATTAACTTAATTAAATGCATACTTAAATCCTAGATATACATGAAACATGTATTTTTATTTTAATTTTGTTTAATTATAATAAAGCAAATATTTTACGGGCAAAACACAAACAATTAATAAACGCAACACAAATTCTAAAATTGCACACTAAAAGAAATTAGTTTTATTTTTGATTTATTTGGGAGTAGTTTTCGTGAGGCAAAAATCACGTGCTCACAATACCTTGTCTGATTTGGTCCGAGGTATTTGGCTAACAGGCCGTCGAATGTCCTTTTGTAAAGGTCGTGGTTTTTGAGACTGTATCTGGCCACTTGTATTCAGAGCTTTTTGGCTTCTTTTTTTATCTTGTGGGAGTGTTCCTTCCTTTAGATATGATATGGTGCGATTACGCCAGTCCCAAGTTAAATTTATAGAGTGTACCTCGACTTGGTCTATTGATGAGTGAAGGAGGGTGACCACGTTCTCCTTGGTGATGTTTTTAGTTGTTGCTGCCAGCTTGGCGATACCGTCTGCTTCAATGTTTTGTGCTCGGGGTATTTGGTTGAATCGACATTCGTCGAATTCTGGCAGCAGTTTGTGGATTTTGGTCTGGTATTTCTGCAACCTTTGGTCCTTAATTTGGAAAGTTCCAGTAACTTGATTCACAAAGAGTTGAGAGTCGCAGCGGAGGATGACCCGCCGAGCACCATACTTGAGGGCTAATTTCAATCCTGCAATTACGGCCTCATACTCGGCCTCATTGTTAGTCATTTTAGGGCATCGTACAGATTGATGAATTACTTCGCCTGTCGGGACTTCGAGTACGAGTCCCAATCCTGATCCCGACGCGTTGGACGCGCCATCGGTGCAGAGGACCCAGAGGTCGGATCGTTCAGATGAAGTGCAAAGAGCTTCTTGCTCGACTTCTGGCATTATCTCTACGCTGAAATCGGCGACAAAGTCGGCGAGCACTTGCGACTTTTTTACGATTCGCTGTTTATATGTTATATCGTGCTCGCTCAGTTCTATGGCCCATTTGGTCAGTCGACCTGATAATTCGGGTTTGTGCAAGATACTCCTGAGAGGAAAGGTTGTCACCACCTTTATGGGGTGGCACTGAAAATATGGTCTAAGCTTTCGTGAAGCTATGACTAGCGCCACAGCCAGTTTTTCAAGGTAGGGGTACCTTGTTTCGGCGTCAATTAAGGTTTTGTTGATATAGTAAATTGGAGATTGCGTACCTTTGTTTTCTCGAACTAAAACTGCACTTACCGCGACTTCAGATATGGCTAGGTAGACTAGGAGGCACTCGCCTGGGTCTGCTTTGGCGAGTAAGGGTGGCGAAGACAAGTATGCTTTTAGTTTCCTTAGGGTGTCGACACATTCTAAATTCCACTGGAGCCCATTGTATTTCCTTAATACATTAAAGAATTTATGACATCTATCCGATGACCGTGAGATGAACCTCGACAGGGCGGCTATCCGTCCCGTCAATTTTTGTACCTATTTTTTGCTGGTCAGTGTTTCGGCTATTCCTTCGATGGCCTTAATCTGTTCGGGGTTGACCTCGATGCCTCTTTGTGACACCAGGAAATCGAGGAACTTTCCCGAGATTATGCCGAAATCGCATTTTTTGGGGTTTAGTTTCATGTTGTACCGTCTTAATATGTCGAAAGCTTCCTTCGGATGACTGATATGATCTTCTTTCCTTTTTGACTTAACCAGCATGTCATCGATGTAGACTTCCATTGTTTTACCGAGTTGGTTTTTGAACATTTTGGTGACCAATCTCTGATATGTCATCCTCGCATTCTTTAGTCCGAACGACATTACTTTATAGTAGTATGTTCCCTGGTGAGTGATGAAAGTGGTTTTCTCCTGGTCTTCTTCTTCCATGAGGATCTTATTGTAACCCGAATAGGCATCCAAGAAGCTTAGCAACTCATGTCCTGCTGTTGCATCGATAAGCTGGTCGATGTGTGGTAATGGAAAAGAATCTTTCGGACATGCCTTGTTTAGGTCCGTGAAAACTACACACATTTGCCACTTTCCATTTTCCTTTATCACCATGACCACATTGGCGACCCATTAAGGATATTTCGATTCCTGGACGGAGCCATTTGCGAGCAGCTTATCGACCTCTTCGCTGACGGCTTTGTTGATTGCGGCGTTGAACTTCCTTCTCATTTGTCGCACCGGCAGTAAAGGGGGTCGACATTTAACTTGTGGGTGGTGATATCTTTTGGGATGCCTGGCATATCTGCATGGGAGAAGGTAAATAAATCGGCATGGTCAGTCAAGAAAATATGAAACTTACCTAGTTTCGATAGGTTGTGCCCGATATAAACCTTTTTTGTGCTATCGTTGCCGTCTAGCAGGACGGGATCAAGATTTTCTATCATTGATTCGGATGCTTCCACGATGTCGGGGTCCTTGATAACGTCTATCCGTATGTCAAGTTTGGCTCCTGACATCGTTGATTGCTATGATTCCGCATTTGATCATTTGAGTTGTTGGGTGTGTGCGCAATCTTGAGCTATGCGATAACATTCTTGTGCAGTGCGTTGCTCCCCTCAAATGCTGAATATTCCCCATAAGGTAGGAAACTTGATCACTTGATAAAGATTGGAAGGGACCGCTCGCATAGCGTGTATCTACGGGCACCCTATGATGGCGTTGTAAGTTGTTTCCTGGTTCATGATGTGAAATGTCGTTTCCAGGGTGACTCCTCCGGCTAGGACATGTAGCACTATCTCTCCAGAAGTCCGTTCAACTGCATTATTAAAACTTGTTAGTGTTATACAACACGGTATTATTTTGTCTTCGAGTCTCATCTGCACGAGGACTCGAAGATGGATAATACACGCGCCGCTCCCGTCATCTTCCATTATTCTTTTTACATTAGTATGTGCGATACGTAAAGTGATAACAAGAGCATCATAGTGAGGAAAAGACAAACTATCGGCATCTAACTTATCAAAGATGATACTGTCTTCGAGGTCATCATACCATTCGTGGGGTGATTGATCGTTTTAGTTTATGTATGGTGGTGAACTTGACATGATTGATCACTGCACCATCACCCCCGCCGATGATCATCTATATGGTACGAGCAGGAGAAGGCGGTTTTGGATGTCCTTGGGGCTGTTCACGTCCACGGGCGAAGTTAGTCCATCCTTGATCACTCAGCAGCTCCTTCAGGTGACCCTGGTTTAGCATCCGCACTACTTCCTGTCGTAGTCCTATGCAATCTTCGGTTTTGTGACCCCTTTCTTGGTTAAATTCGCAGAAAGCGCTTGACTTCCGAGTGTTGGGGTCTGACCTCATCTTTTGCGACCATTACACCTTTGGACCGAGTTTCTCTAGGGCGTACACTATTTCTGAAGGAGAAACACAAAAATTGTGAGCGGATAGGAGTGGAGGCATACCTTTCTCGTGTCGATATAGTGTTGTATGTCAAGGAAGAGCATTCGTGTGTCGTGGTGGAGGTGGAGCAGATGTCCTGACGTAGGGTTGATGCCTTTCCCGATCGAAGCGGGACCTCAACTGATCTTTTCGACCGTCATTACGACGATCTTTCTTTACTTCGGTTTGAAGTGACGTCAACCGTTGGGTCGGACCGTTGAGATCGTCCTCGTCGGCTCGTACCTCGGCGCAGTAGTCATTATGGATTTCTTCCCAAGTAGTTGGAGGGTATTTCATGAGCCTGCTTAGCAATTTTCTGGTTGCTCTCGACACGTTTCTATTTAATTCGTTCTGGAAGGATGCTACTGCCATTCCTTCTGACACATTTGGTAAGCTCATTCTCACCCTATTGAACAGAGCTAAGAAGCCCCTGAGTCCCTCGCTGTGCATCTGTCTTACGACAAATATATCATTTACCCTAGCCTCTGCCTTTTTGGCTCCTGCATGGGTGGTGGCGAATTTGTCTGTCATTTCCTCAAATGTTTCTATTGAGCGTGCTGGTAGTCGAGAGTACCATGCCAAGGCTCCCCCTATTAAGGTTTCACTGAACTTTTTCAATAGCACCGATGGTTTCTGCTTTTTTGAAAAATCGTTGCCTTTTACGGCTGTAACCTAGTGGATGATGTGGTCTTCTGGATCGGTAGTACCAACATATATCTTTAAGTAAGGCGGCATTTTGAAGGTCCTTGGAATGGTGTAGGGGGCCGCTTCTTCACTGTATGGTTGCTCGATGAATCGACCAACATCACATTTTGGCAGCAACTTTGGAGCGCCTGGTATTTTGTCAAACCTCTCTTGGCGTTCTTTCATTTGGTCACGGAGTGCCTTATTCTCATTTTCAATCTCCTCCATTTTCTTTAAAACGGCTGCAAGTGTATCATTGCCTGCGTCATTAGCAATATAAGTGTTACCTGTACGGAGGGCGTCTTGCTCACCATCGTTTATCATGACATCTGCATGTGCTACATTCCTATCATCCTTTTGGGCGGGTTTATCAAGTATGGTGTTTAGAGCACTTGTTAGCCTTTCTTCCAGCAATCTTCTTACTACGGGTGGTGCCTCTCCTGTTTCAGATGTGGAGGTTTCCCTCTCGCGCGAAGCAGTCACGCTTTCGTGCGGGGAGGTGAAGTGTCTCCCCCGGGTGTGGTGTTTGGTGTTTCATTTTCGTTATCCTCTCTGCTATCTTCGTTGACGGTGTCTAGGAGGTTGGTTGTGACGCCTACTATGGATTTTTGCCTTGCATCTTCCCCGCCATTGTTGGTTTGTACCAAGCTCGGGAGAAGTGATTATCCCTTTCAGGAGTCTAGATGAAACTATATCTTAGCTAAAGAAATCCCCGCAGACGGCGCCAAATTATTTGACCCAAAAGATATTGAAACCTTTTTGATTAAATCAATTTAAGAAGATAAAAAGGTAAATCTCAATCAAGTATAATAAACTCTAGAATGAAAGATACAAGGGATGAATAAGGTGGATAATATTTCTTGATCTCGTGGAACCGAATGATTAAGCGTCAAATATGACAACCTTGAATGTAGAAAGATATTACGATGGGTGCTCTTACCAAAAGTCCCCCCCCCCCTACAAGGTTTTTTTCTCACTATATATAAGGGACAACCTCTTCCTGGACCCTAAAAGACATATCATAGAGAGTATTCGAAAGTATATTCATACTGCCTCTTATTAGGCCTACATTATTGCAAAAGTCATGCGTCCTCTAGCCGTTGTCGGTCCTCGCCGTCTTCAACGGCCACATGACGTCATGTTGTGAAGATCTCGTCTCTTGTCGTATTTGTCAGTAGCCGTTATTGTCCAAATTTGGACCTATACACTTCGAAGGGAAGAGAAACGACTTTCCTTTCGGATATTGCAAACGCACAAATGAAACACCTTAGTTAGCGTAAGAAGTTACTCTAAATGCTTTTCACAAAAAAGCAATAAATATATGAGATCAGTAAATAAATGGTATTAAAAGAATATTTGTATATTGTGTTACTTTTTAAAAATGATAGCGAGATTTTTTGTTAATACTNCCGCGAGGCCCGGCCCGTTAGGCCCACTAAGGCCCGGGCCCGGGACAAAATACAGCCCTACTTATAGTACTTGAAAGTTGACACCGGTGCCTCGAAATGGTATATGGAGGGGCAAATTCGAAATGGTAACGGTTAAAAACTTTGAACACAAAGGGCACAAAAGTAAATCCATAGTTTTCCTTTGTGGACTCCACATAGAAAGAAAAGGACTGTATGGTGCATTTTCTCCGACCCCACTCTTTTCGACCGTCCTTTTTTTACCCCTCGTGTTCACCAAACAAAAAAAAGAAGAAGAGAAAAATAAAGAATCAAAAATATAAAAAAGAAATAATAAATGCAAAAGAAATAGTACTTATTAAATAAATGGGTGTGAATATGGACATGGAAAACGACAGACTCAACTCTGCATTTTTATTGGATTTTTCGGGGAAGCGGAAAGGAGAGAGAAACAATCAAAGTAAAAGCTTTTAGCCTCTCACTGTCCTCAACACTTGGGTTTGTGTTTTCTTTGAGGAGAAAAAAGTAGAAGAGGGGTGCGTAGGATAAGCAGTGTATGGACTCTGCAGGAGTGTAGTTTAAGAGCTTTTCTGGCTATGGTAGAGTGAGTTTGAGCTAAAAAGCACACTGGAAGTGGAGTGTGTGTAGCCATTTTAGCTGATATCTTGACTTGGGTCGTGCTTCTTTCCTTGATTGGAGGTGAAAAGCGTACCTACGTACAATGGCAGCTGCTGTGCAGTTTAGCTCATGTGGTCAGAGGAGGAGAGGAGCTTTTACTGTAGTTTTGATGTTGGTTTACTTGTGGGGTTCTCTGATCTCGTTATCTTGTGCTGCTAGGCTCTCTTCTGTCTCAAGGCAGAAGCTTCAGGTTGAGAGACACTTAAAAAGGCTCAATAAACCTGCCATTAAAAGCATTGAGGTACTTACTTCACTTCTCTCCCTTTGGTTTAAGCTTAAACCATCTCCTTGTGACAACAATACTCCCCAAAAAAATCAAACTTTATTGAGTTTTGAACTTTTTTGCTGGAGAAATTGGTCAGTCATTAGTGGTCGGAAAATAGTGGTGTTATGAGTGTCATTGTATCCCTAGCTTGTGCACTTATCATTAGCTGCTCTGTTGTTCTGTCCTCCTTCCCATTTTCATTGTCCATTTTTTAGTGATTTTCTCAGCTAATAATTTTTTACTTGAATAGCTATTGCAGTGTTTGGTTTATATTGGTTGCTCCCCATTTTTTTTGTTTTTTTTGTGTGTGTGTGTGGGGGGGGGGGGGGGGGGGTTTTT